TCCATCCTCTGGGAAGCACTGTCAAAGGTGCACACCTCCAGTGTTCCTCACCTCACGCTCAGACTATCATGAAACACTTCTGATCAAACAGGCAAGCTAACACTAAAACTTATCTGAACTGTGCTTCAAGAGAAAAGTTTAAACACAAAAGAGTGAACTGCATGAGCTTTGGAGATTAAATTTGTGGGGGTGTTTTGAAATGATTCAATCACACATTTATGTGTTTACTTGTTATTTCTCTCTGGTGTTCCAAAGTATGAAAATTTGCCTGGAAAACTGAACTCTCGCTTTGAAAGATCCTACTTATCTTTTTAAATACTTCCTTACTACATATGAACAACAAATTTTCCCTTCACACTCAGGTTCGAATAAATGTCATACTATTTGAGCAGTAAATGTACAAATATGTAAGTATACTGATTTATTTTCCTACTAAAGCTAAACGTTAAAGTTGTTTAGATATCATATTGTTCTAATATTAAAATTAGTTTTAAGTTGTAAACTCCTGACGTAGTGCGGTCTGAAGTGGTCGTGATCTACCTTGATTTCACTCAACTCACAGATTTTAGGCACATGAAGGGTGCTGCCTTCCTGCATTCACTCCGGAAGCAAACGGCTGGGCACTGACCAGGCCAGACTCCAACTCTTAGCTGGACTCAGATCCAGTTCCATTCATCACTCATAATCCCTATTTTTAGTCATCTATTTTCAAATGATCTGAGGAATTTGGTTTTTTAAAACAACATATAAATGCACTTTTTAAATTTACTAAATCATAGTAAATCACAAACCACAGGTCCTATATTCAAATCATTAACAGTTAATTAAAATGTACTTTGAAGTTTATTCCATATTCAAATATACTAGGACCACTTTATTTTAGGGAAAAAGAAAAAACTTTAATATAAACCTTATTTGTATAACTACCACTTACTACCAAAGGTGAGGCAAAGGATAAGTTAAGGAACTTGACATTAATGTGATTTTAAATCTATGCAAGACTAACTTTGGAGCTGTAATCTCAAAATCAAAAAAAGCAAGAAATCTTGCAAATATTTCTGACAAAATACTTCTAGAAGCAATATACACATTAAAACAAGACCACCAGAGTTCACAATATTTGTCAGATAACAACATTAAGTATCACTTCTGAGAGTATTAACAAAACTACACAGTTAGGAAAGGTACTCCTTCAGTTAATATGAAACTCCTTGCAGAAAAATTCTTTTTAACATTTTCTAAAGAAAAGATCAAGAACCTTAGAAAGAGTAAGGTACCTTTTGTAACTGTCAAGTTTTATTAAGATGTCTAGCATATCTGATTCAGATTTCTACTGACACTCCCATCCCCTGGGCAAGATTCACAAGGACCAACTCTATGGCTCTGTGGAGGGCAAGACCAAAGAAGCCACAGCTCAGAGGTGGTCAGAGGAGTTGACAAGGACCAGTGAGAGCTGCGAGAGGCTGAGCCTAGCGCACCCACCGTAATCCCAGCCATCACCTGTAATCCCAGCCATTCTACAATGCTAACTATTCAGGAGGCTTGGGAAGAAGGATGGTGAATTCCAGGCCAGCATGGTACTACAGAATGAGGGCCTCTTCCAAACCAAAAAAAGAGTTCTGACACTGGTGTTAAAAGATCAGGAAAAGCTATGTAGAGCAGCTGTGAGATTGTACTCTCTGCAGTAACAGAACAGACTCCTACCTACCAGGGTATGGTTTTGAAGTACTGAAAGCTTCTTAAAGTCCAATCCAGACCCAGAGCAAAACCAAAAACTACATCTACATCCAACAATATAAGAACACAACACAGCTTTCCTGCAAAGCAATACCTTTACTTAATTGGAGGGTATGAAAAAGGTAAATTTCTCTGCAGTTCCATGTCTTTTGCTAGATAACTGAGTCCCTCCAAATGTAGTCTTACTGCTTCTAAAATGTAACTGTTTTTACTTTTCTAAATTTTAACTTTGAAGCCAAACCCTAATTATAGCAGGGCACTAAATGATTAAGCTGATCTCTTTAACCAGCTCCATGACCTTGGGAAGTCACTTTTTGTAAAGTGAGAGTCTTGGACTAAAAAACGTACTCGATGTAAACTCCATGTTCTATTCGCCACTCTACTCCCTGCCTGGGGCATGGAAGGCATTAACTGAAAGAATCACTGTGGTCTACAGCCTACAAATATAAAATGAAGGTATTAATTTTTCTTCTCTTTTCTTTTCCTTTGTGTGCTGTGGATGCAAGCAGGACCTCATGCAAGCTAGACAAGCATTTTAGCACCCAGAATTCTCAAACATTTTTAAGAGGACATTTGAAACTGAAATAGTCTATCCAAAAAAAATCATATATATTATGTAAGTTAAGTGTTAATAAATAAAAAGGGTAAATTATTTTTACTCTTTTTTTTCTTTCCCTTTAACCCACTGCTGTTTCCTGGGTTGTTGTTTTTTTTTTTTTTTTTTTTTTTCCCTTTCCTGAAAGGGAGGCAGCTGATAGGGAGAGAGGGCCCTGGCCTTACAGCTCCAGCCCCTTCATCTATCAGGGGGCTCTGTGGAGATAAGTCATTTCCCCTTTGGGGCCTGAAAAACAGCATCTATAACATGAGAGAACTGAGCTAATTAGCTTCTAAAGTCTGCATTAAAAATCTGTAGGTTTTGATCTGGGATACAGCTCAGTGGCACCGCGTCTGCCTGGCAAGCACAAGGTCTTGAGTTCAATTCCCAATACCCACAAAAAACTATAGGTTTTTTGTTTGTTGGTTGGTTTGTTTTGAGACTGGGTCTTGCTATGTAGCCCAGGTTGGCCTCAAACTTGTCGTGACCCTCCTGTCTCAGCTTCCCAAGTGCTGGGATTACAGGTGTGCACCATCACATTTGGCCAAAAATCTATAGTTCTACTTTCATCCTACCCATTATTCTGGTCTCAATACTTTTATTGGATTCTCACATCCTTCCAGAACTTGCATAGTAGTATCAAAATCTGTCTCTTTCTTCTACTTTTCTTTGTTGTCTGAACTGCTATTGAATAAATTCAGCCCTAAAAGATGAGTAAAACATTGGAAAAAATCAAACTTTGGTCAGAGAGACCTGGGTTCACGTTCTGGCTCTGCCACTAACTGCATCTCTAAAACGGTCCTGCAGTAACTGGCTCACCCAAGGACCTACAAAAGGGACAAGCAGCAAATTCAGAGCCTAACACTGTGGATGTTCAACAAACGAGGGCCTTTCCTTATTTCCTAGAATGGAAAGCCCTGGTTTCTGTCTAATGCAAATATGGGCAAGCTGCATAGGGGACATCCCTGGGAGTTTCAGAATCACAGTGGCAAACACTGGCTAAATATTCTCATCGCCAGCCTCCCATGTGTCAGGCAAGCATTGGCCCGTGATGCTGCGGGCTTGCACTGTATCATGGGGTAGGGCAGCCCCATGACCAGGCTTCTGGAATGCTCCAAATAAGTGGTGTGGTCTCCCCTAGGCCAAATCCACAGGTCAAAGGGAAAGGAAGATTGACACTGCTTTAATATGAAATCTGACAGCAAACTCAACCCCACTTGGCTGTTCACCTACAAAAAGCCCCCCTCATTTCTCTGTATAGCACTTAAACGTACAGGCAGCTTCCTAACATCACACCATCAAAGATAGTAATCTTAGGAAACTAATGTATGGCCAGAACCCAAACTTTCTCATATAACAAAGACACACACTGAGCTTTGTATAGTTAAATGCCTTTGGGAAAATGCAATGGCTTTCTTGATTTCAAAACTGGGTCAAAACTGGAAGGAACAAGGCGAGGAGTGGTGAGAACTGGCACCAAGAGCATATTTCTTAAAGTGGCCTAAGTACAGTTACTTGGTTACATGGAAATTTTTTTTAAAAAAATTATCAAAGTAGGAAACATCATCAGTCCTTACTGCCACAGCTACTGGGTAACAGAAGGCCACCTAGCAAATGCGAAAGTTTGGAAACCAAGAAACCTTGTGTAGAAACCTGAGTTGTTTTTTTTTTTTTTTTTTAAGTGTCACCTTCTTTCTCCTCTACTTCAGCCCGAGCAATTGGTGCAAAAGTCACAGGAAAAAAGGACGTAGCATTACTCAGAACTAGAAGGCTTGACAAAGAATTATCCAAATTCATTTCTCTGGCTAAAATCACAAACACACTCACTGGAGATCTGTGATCAGACCAAGCTTCTCGCCTGCACCCTGAAATGCACTCCCTAATCAAAACAGAAATTCCTTCCACGAGCTACTATTTTTCTGCAAAATAACTAATCCGAAGCACTGTTGTTTCTGGTTGATCTCCCTTTATTTTACTAAATGTGTCGTCTTCTGGCTCACATCCCTAACTAAAGAGACCTAGCTTTCTTCACTTAGACTCATCACAGCCACCAACCAGCCTGCAGCCTCTTTCCAGATTCCTCATAACCCCGACCCTAAGCCACCCCGCGCAAGTCATTGTCACCTTCACTCTGCCTACAAACTCATTTCAGCGTTATCTACACGTAGCACCCTCTGACCAGGTTAGGTCCCAGCTTCCTGCTCCAACTGCAGGGCTCGGCACTGGCTGGTTCCTCCCCAGCAGCCGACCCAGCCAGGCCGCTCCTCCGCACCTTCTCGCTGTCCAGTCCCCACCACCGCCTTTACACTGCACCTCGGCGAGCCCCCAGCGCCTCGCTGCTGCGCTCCTCTCTCGCCCACAACCAATGCCTGGCACTCCTCGCTCCCGACTCTTCGCTCCAGACCCTGCCCAGGTCCTCTCTTTCTGAGACCGGCCTTAAAAACCCCAACCTCGCCCCTAGCCCCGGCAGTGCCCTCTCCCGACTCCAGCACAGGCCGCCTCTCGGCCTGGCCCATCCCACTTCCCCCTCCAAAGCCCGGGCCCCCAGTGCTCCGGCACCCTAGCCCGTCTTGCCCCGCCGGCCGCCGGCAGCCCGCGGCCGCGCGCAGCCCTCTGCAGGCGCGGCGGACCCCCGCCCACGGCGCCCGCGCGGGGCGTGGCCCCTCACCTCTGCGTCCACCACCTCGTGGTAGGCGGGCGGGGGGTCGAAGCCGCCCCCGGAGCCCCCGCCGCGGGAGGGTCCGCCTTCGCCGCCGCCGTCGCCGCGCGGGCCGCCGCCGCCTCCCCCTCCGGGCCCCGGGCCGCCGCCGCTGTCCATGGGCTCGTAGCCGCCGTAGTCCAGGCCGGGCCTCTCGTTGGTGAGCAGCGCCACGGCCTCGTTGATGTCGTTCTTGGCCAGACGCAGGGCCTTGCGGATGGCGGCGGGGTCCGAGAAGCCCATGCACAGCAGCGTGGTCATGTGCTGCTCCTCCTCCGACTCCATGGCTCGGGGCTGCGGGCCACGCCGGCCGGCGAGCGGCGGGCGGTGGGTCCCGGGCCGGGCCTGTTGCGGGCACGGGCGCTGCGAGCCGGGCCGGGACTGTGGAGCGCTCACTCAGGCGCGAGGGCGGCGCGGCCCAGCCCTGCGCGCCGCCATGTTGGCCTGCGCCGCCGCCTCCTCCCCGCGGGGCTGCGCCGCCGCCGCCGGAAGCCGCTTCCCCGCGCGGGCCGCCGGGGCGCGGGCGGGGCGGCTCCCGACGCGGGGCGGAGCGGGGCGGGGCGGGGCGCGGTGGAAGGGCGGCCACGGGTGGGGAGGGTCCTGTGCGGTCGCCCCGCCGCGCGCCGCCGCTGCGGGTCTCCTGGGGCGCGCCGGCCACTGCGACCCCAGAGCAGCGAGCATCCCGGGGCCGCCGCTGGCGCCCGGCCTGCGATGTCCCAGGCCTGGAGCAGAGCCCCGCGTCCACCGCGCGACTCCAGGCTCGTCCCAGGCGCCCCAGCCGACGGACGCGAAATGAATTCTCCTGCCCCGCCAAATCCGACCGGACTTTACTACGTGTCCGACGCTGAGACCCAGGAGAGTCTCAAACCTCTTTCCAATCCGAACGCGAAATCCCCGCGCTCTGTGGAACTCCCTGCGCGCAGCGCGTTGCCCTCCGCCAGCCGCAGGTGCGCTGGCCCTCGGGACGCCGCGCCCCGATGCTGACCCCTGCCCACGTTTCAGCCCCAGGCTTTGGCTCCGGGGCCGCACCGTTTGTTTCTGTGTTCCAGAGTTCCTCGCCCTCTAGGAAGGGTCTGGACGTTCAGGACTAGGAAGCCAACCTTTGCTGTCACCACCTCCTGCGCGCCCCCGAGCTACTACTTAAAAATTTATCATTTATTTATTTATTTTGGGTGGGGTACCGAGAATCAGGACCTTGCCCTTGCCAGACAAGCATTGTGCCACCGAGCTCTACCCCGGTCTTCTTTTTCCCTTTCATACCCTCCAAGTCATGCTTGTAGGCCCTTTCCCACCCTCTCCAAACTCCTGCTGCCTGTCCCTTGGCTCACTGGACTTCATAACTAGTTTCATCTCCCAGTGCCTTCATCCTCGCTTACTCCTGTACCTGAAGTCCCAGTAGCCACTCTTCCTATCAAACCCTGTTTCCAACCCAGCACTCGCTAAGATCTGCACCTTCCCTGTCCCCCAAGTGTGAAACTATTGGCAGTAGCCCGCAGTGTTCTCTGCATTCTCCCTACACCATGAACCCTTCTTGCCTAGTAACTTGCCACTATATTTCTCAACACTGGCATTTTGATTTAGAAGGTGACTCTATCACTGTCTTTTACATTTAAATGGAGTAACTATTGTATTTTTTATTCTTATTATTAAAGGCTAAGTTATAATCCTTAGGAAATAAAGTCTCATATCCAAAGGAAATAAAGTCTCTTAATTTGTGAATAAAAATTACAAAACATCCTTCCATTTCTGAACATCAGTATTTAAAAAATAATGACCTAAGGAAAAAATGTCTGTAATTGGATTGGGCCCCAAAATAGACATTAAAATAGTGTTTTAAATATCTAGTTACCAATGAAGTTCAGTGTATCTGATGGGCAAAGAACAAAAGTAAACTCATACCCTGTAAGCAGCCTGTCACAGAGCGCCTGTCATGATGCTTAATGTGCTCAAGTAGGTACCATTGACCAGGAGCCAGGTTCTGTTCTTGGCACTGGCAATGTGAGAGGGAACCAAATAGATAAAAATTTATTGATTTATTTATTTGCAAAGCAAGAACATTCAATTTTGCCCCGTCTTTGAAGTGTTAACTCGGTGGCTAAATTGTGAAATGAGCTGCAAGGGAAAAGAAAGTAACAAGGGGAGAGAAGAAAAGCTTGCCACTCAGATTCGAGCTGAAATGTAAGCGGTACTGAGCCAAGGCTGGCGGATTCAGATGGCACATCAAAAGACTCCTCAACAGTAGCAGGTTTACAGAACGCGACAGAGGAAGCTGTGCTTAGCTGAGAAGAGGAAGCAGAGAAAAACAAAGTCTGTGATAAAAACTGGAAAGGAGCCACAAAAGGCTACAAAAAACAAGAAAGGCCATTTTCCAACCAGATCCCAGAGTGACTGAAAAGCCAGTGTCATCTGAGGATGCAAGTACTGTAGTAAAATCACACAGCTCTGCATGTAAGGACGCAAGGAGCACTTTAAATCCTACTGAATTGGGATAGCATGGGTGGATACTAGGGAATGAATATTCATATATCTAATTTACATTTTTATTTTTATCACAGTAAAGTCCAGAAAATGTTAAAGACTTAAAAAAAATATTTTAAGTTACATTCAGTTCACATATATTCTTCTCTAGAAAGGTTCTAAAGAAAGACAAAAATATAGCTAGGTCTAGATGTGTGATGGACTATCTTGAAGACAAAGCAGGCAAGTTTCTAATATTAATTAGTAATTTTTAAATTATTTATTGAATTTCTAGAACCAGGCTGAGGACTTGGGAGACATTGTGAGCCAGACATGCAGTTTACCGGCCCATTTGGAACTTATCATAAAGTGTGATAGATGCTTTGATAGAATTTTAGGATGTAAGGGGCAAATTTCTTGCTTCAGGGGTTGATAGTGGTAAATTACCTGTCTAGGAAGTCTGGAAAGTTTCCCAGAGAAAGTGACATATAAACAATGAAGTGACCAAAATTAGGAAAGCCAGGTCAAGGAATATAGCACAAGGGAAGAAAGGTCAAAAGGACAAGGGTAACATGTCCATAAGGTCTTACATTGCGTGAGAATGAAGCAACTAAGAACTCAAAACAGGCAAAGCAGGGCTGAAATGCACCCTTCTAGAGGCGAGAGTGAGAAAGCAAGTTAGGAAGGTAGACGGACGCCGCCTCCAAGACGGTCATATGACTGTGATGAAGAGTTTGCATTTGGTATTAAGGAAAAGGAATTATGGAAATGCTTATGCAGGGAAGTGAGGTGAGGTGTCTTAAATTGCATTTTGTTTTTGGGATTTTTTTGAGGCCTCACTATGTAGTTCAGGCTGGTTTTGAACTCACTAGCCCAGCCTGGCCTCAAGCTCATGACAATCCTTCCTCAGCTTCCTGAGTACTGGAATTACAAGTATGTACCACCACACCTAGCATGTTAACTTAAATTTTAGAAATATCAGCCAAATTACAGGGTGGAGAATTGCTTATAAGGGAGAAAGAATGAAAGTTGACAACCCAGTTAGGAGTAACCACTAGGTTACCTAAGTAACCACTTTAAAATGAAGAGGTGAGTTTTGTTTTATCAAAATATATTTCACAATTATATAGTCTTTGTTTTTTATTCATTGTTTACAGCAGTTTTACTGTCATGGATCCAAATGTGGTTTTCTCTGCATTTATGCTCTGTAGAGTTTGTTGAGATTCTTTAATACATGCCTTGAATCTTTCATTAGCTTGAAAAACCACTGATTTACTATTTCACAGTCTCTCCCTTTTCCTCTGGGTGTTCAGTCACATACTGTGAGAGCTTTTCATAGAATCACTTCTGCTTTTTATACTGTTTTCTTTAATTTCCAGTCCTTGCCACTCTATGCTTTAGTATAGGTATTTTCTTCTTTCCTCTCTTCCAGTTCACAAATTCTTTCTTCAGTTAAACCTTGTCTGCTGCTAAATATATTTATTGAATTATTAATGTGAGTCCTATAATTTCACTCTAGTTCTTTTTATGGCCTCCATATCTATCTTGTCACTTAATTACTTATTTTGTTTGCTTGTTTTTGTTTTTTGAGACAAGGTCTCACTACATAGGTCAGGCTTGCCTTGAACTCACTATGTAGTCCAGACTTGGCCTCAAACTGGTGATGCTCCTCCTGTCTCAGCCTTCTGTGTGCTGGGACTACAGGTATGTGCCACTGTGTCCAGCTACAACTTTTTTAACATACTAGTCACCACTACTTCAGTCTATGTTGGATAACTTCCATATCTAGTCCTGCTGTGGATATATTTCTATTGTTTGGCTTTTTTTTTTGGTGCCGGGGATTGAATGTATCACCTCACCCTTACCAGGTAAGCACTTAAACCACTGAGCTAAATCCCTGGTTTTGACTTTTATCTTGTAAATTCTTATATTTTTGTAAGCATAGTGTTTTTGTAATCATTGTAGTTTTAAAAACTATAGCGATGACCTGAGGATCTAGGTAATGCGATCTTAATTTTTAATTTTTAAAAATTTTTGAGACAGTCTCACTAAGTCACTAAATTGCTCAGGCTGGAATTGAACTTGTGAACCATCTACTTCAGCCTCCCAGAGTTCTGGGAATGCAGGCATGACTGACCCCAAAAAAGGCAGTTATAAGGAACCAAAGGGCAAAATCTGAAACGATTTTTAAATTAGATGGCCTATTATTTCAAGAGATTTGGATAAATTCCTCCTAGAGGTAGGGGAGGGATCCCTAATTCTGACTATAATTCAGTGTCTCAGTGCTTTGACAAATGGAGGTTAATGTGAACTTTAAGTTTTTTAGAAAACAATGATATGATGTTAACGTATCAGATGTTGATGTATAATAAAACAGAGCAGCAAAGTGACATTACTGTTCTTATCTTGAATACTATAGTTGGGCATTGCTTTTTTAAAGTTTTATGTATGTGTAACAGTTTTATTGAGATATTCATATGCTGTACAATTCCCTTGTTTGAGGTGTACAGTTCTTTGGTTTTTGACATATCACAGATATGCAAAAGTATTACCACAGTCAATTTTATAACATTGTCCTCTCCTGAAAAGAAACTCTGTAGACATTAGCTTTCACGCACCTGTCTCTCCATCTATTCCCACCTCAAGCAACAGTGAATGAATGGATGAATTTTTTCCTTTTTTCTTTTTTTGTGTGGTACTGGGAATTGAATGCCAAGAGGCTGCTGAGTTACTTGCTATCTCCCAGCCCTTTTAAAAATTAATTAATTAATTAATTAATTGATTTTGAGTTAAACTCTCAGTTGACCAAATTGGCCTTGAAATTTCCATCCTCCTGCCTTAACTTCCCCAGTAGATGGTATAATAGGCATGTGTCACTGTTACTGACTCCTTTGCCCATTTGTGAGTTCGGTTATTTATATTTTATATTCCAGATCCAAATCCTTTATTAGATGTATGAGTTGCAACTGTTCT